TGGATGAAAATAGACGAAATTCTTCGAAACAAATTTGTTTTTTTTTTCTAAAATGAAGCATGAAAGCTGCATAAATTGTTTCTGTTAACATGACGTTATTACTACATTAATCCATTAAGATCAATTAGAGTTTATATAATCAAGCGGTTTCAATTGTGTTTAGATGATTCGTTTTTCGAAGATCGATGTTAATAAGATTGGTAACATTGTATTACATGGGCTACTATTAATACAACTTCAGTTTTAGGAAACTTTTTAGTATTACCGCGGCATCAAAGTTAAGACTTATGAGAATATATCATTAAAATAAAAAATAATACTGAATATGCAATGCAATCATTAAGTTAAATTTAATATTTTAAACTCTATTATTTATGTTGGAGAAAGAATGAAACTGAAGAGTATATCTTAACATCTAATAGAAATATCTAAGAAGTGAAAATGCTGTAGTGCATTCAGCTGAAATAGCAAAAGCTAACAATTGATACTTTATTGAGATACAAAAAGAAGAAATTTTTTCTCCTAGATATTTCGTTTCTACCACTATAGGAAATGATTCTATTTTGTAGTTTTCAAAAATTACCACTTATCAACAGTTATGGAGAGGAAAACGTTGAAAAATGGAAAGCAAGCATCAAGAGATAATAACAGTTCAAATCACCAACCAGCAGTCCAGCCGAATACAGGACACATACAAAGTGAAAGAACTAGAGTCCAAAGTCAGATGAATATTTCTGATGATCATCAAGGCACAGCACACAAAAATCACAAGACTAAATCGAAAAAAAAACAAATGCAAATCGATATTGAAATTCAAAATCAACCAGCCTGCACATCTTATACATCAGAAGTAGAATTTGATGAAGAAACGTCTATTGATAATCAAGAACAAACTGTAGAACGAGCCGAACGGGTTGATGTTGCGACTAATAGATCCACTAAACCAAAACATCGAGTTTCAAAGACAAACAGTATAACTGAAATTCTACCAAATCCTAGCGAACCGATTACATTTGAAAATGATCCATCCCCGATCATTGAATATGCTGCTGAGCCTATATTGCCACTTTCTTTAGCATGTGCTCCACTCCTTGATATTCTTTATAATTTGGCGTTTTATGTTCAGTTGGCACTAGATGAAACGCCCGCTAATCCACCAAATGGTTTAACAGTTCATGAAAGTGCTGCAATTCGTCTGTATACTCTCGAATGGGAAGCACCACATAAAAGTCTCTATTCAATGCTCAATTACACTCTTAAAAGCAGCAATCGTGAAGAACTTCGACCTTATTTCAAGTATATGAAATTATT